ACTTTCTCACAGCATGTAAAGTACAAACGTCAGAATTTGTTATATGAACAACAATATAGCAAAGACGTTTTAAAACCGGCTTTGAGATTTTGTTTTGAGATTCCAATCTGATACACAAATTGAAATAATCGGATTTGGACTGACAGTCTGAAAGTAGCCAAAAAGTTTCGGAACAGCACCACCTTCTGGTTTTAAATTTATAATTAATTTAATGCTAATTGCTTTTGATAAATTTGACCGATTTTATTGAAACTGGTCTTGATATATTCCTTGAGTCATACCAAGAACATTGATATCAATAATGGCATTTTTGGTTGCTATTCGCCATTTTGACTTTTTCAAACTCCTCCTAGACCGTTTATCCGATTTTCACCAAAATCGGCTCTGATAATCTTTAAAACATGCTGGGAAAAGTTATTAAAAGCTTTCTGATTGACACCATATTGACACCAAACTTTGGGTGTGTCATTGTCACCGCACAACGTCAATTTGGCAACAGCGCCACCTATTGGTCAAAAGTGATATGCCATTTAATCACATTAACCAAGTGTTTGTATTTGTGATTTTTCAGCCATTTTGCCTAAAATAATCAAAAAATGTCTTTTATTTCTAATTATTGCAGTTGCTCTGAAGCTCCCAGCCATGCTTGCATACCGGTAACTAATCGTGCCTTTCTTGTGCTGGGCCCCTTTATTGCTGCTTGCAGCTATATGTTATTTCAGTTAACGTTCATTTTATTTCAAGTAACAGCATTTTTTATGGTTTTTGGTTTTAGTTAACCCTGCTTGAAATGACATAAGGGTGAATACATGATTCTGGTCTTTAAACATTAGCAATTAAACATTGTTTTGCATGCTCCAGAAACCTAGAGAACTAACAGCAGGTTTTGGTGTGTGTCTCCCCCTGCAGTGGAGTACCTGCAGTGCAGCGCTGACTGCATCACCAGTGTGACCCAGGTGGACTCGGTTCCTCCGGACATCATCTACACCATTCAACATCTGCAGGGCCGTTTGAAGGAATTTGGGGGCCCCAAGCAAAATGGACATGGAGGCCCCCCATTGCTCAGAGTTTGCTATTTCATAGAGTTCTCAGTTATGTTTTATCTGGCAATCAGCTTTGTCTCAGATATTTCCTCAAAATTACAAATGAGTACGGAAACTTGTTTCCACCTGTGAGATTTAATCTCACTTTTTATTGCGAGGGGGAAAAAAGTCAGAATTATGAGATAAAAAGCCACAATTACCTTTACAATTGCCAAGCTTATACGTCACATCTGAGAAAAAAAATTAATTACGAGCTATAAAAAAAAAGTCAGAATTGCAAGAAATTTCCTGAGACTTTTTTAAGATCTCTTAGAGGAGACACAGGTGGGATCACTGGGTTTTCTTCAGGAGAAACATCTGAGAAGCAAGATTAATTTGTTGATTCAATTCCATATAGTAAATATCTGGTTTATTATTTTCGCACAATGTAACTATATTATTGCCCTGCTCTTTATATAAATTTATATATATATAAATATGTCCAACTTTATCTGCATACATACAATGCACTCACATAGGGCAATATACACGAGAGAGAGAGAGTTTCTCCACCCAACAGTGTGTGTGTGTGAGAGAGAGAGAGTTTCTCCACCCAACAGTGTGTGTGTGTGTGTGTGAGAGAGTTTCTCCACCCAACAGTGTGTGTGTGTGTGTGAGAGAGAGTTTCTCCACCCAACAGTGTGTGTGTGTGTGTGTGTGTGTGTGTGTGTGTGTGTGTGAGAGAGAGTTTCTCCACCCAACAGTGTGTGTGTGTGTGTGTGTGTGTGTGTGTGTGTGTGAGAGAGACTTTCTCCACTCAACAGTGTGTGTGTGTGTGTGTGTGTGAGAGAGAGTTTCTCCACCCAACAGTGTGTGTGTGTGTGTGTGTGTGTGTGTGTGTGTGTGTGTGTGTGTGTGTGTGTGTGTGTGTGTGTGTGTGTGTGTGTGTGTGTGTGAGAGAGTTTCTCCACTCAACAGTGTGTGTGTGTGTGCGTGTGTGAGAGAGAGTTTCTCCACCCAACAGTGTGTGTGTGTGTGTGTGTGTGTGTGTGTGTGTGTGTGTGTGAGAGAGAGAGTTTCTCCACCCAACAGTGTGTGTGTGTGTGTGTGTGTGAGAGAGAGAGAGAGAGAGAGAGAGAGTTTATCCACCCAACAGTGTGTGTGTGTATGTGTGAGAGAGAGAGAGATAGAGTTTCTCCACCCAACAGTGTGTGTGTGTGTGTGTGTGTGTGTGAGAGAGAGAGAGAGAGAGAGAGAGAGTTTCCCACCCAACAGTGTGTGTGTGTGTGTGTGTGAGAGAGAGAGAGAGAGAGAGAGAGTTTCCCACCCAACAGTGTGTGTGTGTGTGTGTGTGTGTGTGAGAGAGAGAGAGAGTTTCTCCACTCAACAGTGTGTGTGTGTGTGTGTGTGTGTGTGTGAGTGAGAGAGAGAGAGAGAGAGTTTCTCCACCCAACAGTGTGTGTGTGTGTGTGTGTGTGTGTGAGAGAGAGAGAGTGAGTTTTTCAACCCAACACGGCCTCACACTGATGCTGCCACAGACTCCACACAACCAGAACACTTCTGCTTCTGCCAGATGAAGGACAATAAACTGCTGCTGCTCGTCAGTGTGTGTGTGTGTGTGTGTGTGTGTGTGTGTGTGTGTGTGTGTGTGTGTGTGTGTGTGTGTGTGTGTGTGTGAGAGAGAGAGAGTTTCTCCACCCAACACTGTGTGTGTGTGTGTGTGTGTGTGTGTGTGCGTGTGTGTGTGTGTGTGTGTGTGTGTGTGTGTGTGTGTGTGTGTGTGTGTGTGTGTGTGTGTGTGTGTGTGTGTTTGTCATCAGAGAAGAGAAGAGATGCTGCAAGAGGAAGTCATTCTGATTCAAGATTACGAGGAACATGAATTTAAAACGTTAATGATTTGCATCGATAAATACTACAATATTCCATAAAAAATAAGAATGGTCCATTTTGATTTCACGGTGACTTGTTTTCAAACTTTCACTTGCAATGATGAGAAAGTATGTAATGTAAGAGATGAGTGGCGTGTGAAACAGAGGCCTTCACACTCATTCGCACCGCAGCATCTTGGGAACCTGTAAATGATCATGTCAAAATATTCTGCTGTAAATGAAGACTTACAGTCAAAACTGCAGGGCGCGTTTTTCAGATTAACACCGAGTGAGAAAAGACAATTAAATGCACATCTTCTTCCAAAAATGTTGCTGTCCTGTCATTACAGTTTTTTACAATCACTTTGTTACTATTTTCAGAACCTTGATGTCATTTTTCACAACTCTAGACACAAAACTCACAACCAATTATCAAAATGCACATTTTTCAAAACTCTAACCATTTTCTCAATTGTTTGGATACAATACACATAAAACTTAGATCATTTGTTCATTCAACAAAAATCACTTGTTCAATATGACACAACTTAACATCAAAGTACTACTATTTCAAAAGGCAATTCACACATTACATTTCAAATGAATGTCTATTCATTTCCTTACACTGATCTAACTATCAACTGATACAACTGCTCAAAATGATAAGTAACTGTTGCGTTACTCTTAAGTTGTATGGAAACAGACAAACAATCTTCCATGTTTACAGTAAATCATGAAAGTTTCAAGATAACGAGATTCATTGTCACCAATTAGCGTGGAGCATGAACCAATTAGACTACAATATCCATGGATGTAGCCTAATATTTTATATCATACTGTAATGCTTCATCAGACACTGTGTCTATGGTCCCAAATACTGTACCACCTTTTCAGACTATTTAAAGTATTGACAGTACTGCACTGTAGAGATGCAGGCCCTTGGAATTGCTTGTCCAATTCTGCCAACTCGTTACTGATGATTGAGGGCACATTGTGGAATGAGTATATAAAGAGTTGATTGGGATCCAATTGCAAGAGCATAGTGATACGTAACATGGAGCCAGCAGGTGATCCAGGTCACAATGGAGGTCAAGCAGTGGTGGGAGGAAGACGAGGAAGACGAGGAAGACGTGTTGGTCAAAGGAATGGTAGGGGACAGGCAGCCCTTCTGAGAGGTGGTCGTGGGCCTCGTTTGAGAGGTGTGGGGGAACGTGGTAGAGGACAGGCACCCCTTCTGAGAGGTGGTCGTGGGCCTCGTTTGAGAGGTGTGGGGGAACGTGGTAGAGGACAGGCACCCCTTCTGAGAGGTGGTCGTGGGCCTCGTTTGAGAGGTGTGGGGGAACGTGGTAGAGGACAGGCACCCCTTCTGAGAGGTGGTCGTGGGCCTCGTTTGGGAGGTGTGGGGGAACGTGGTAGAGGACAGGCACCCCTTCTGAGAGGTGGTCGTGGGCCTCGTTTGAGAGGTGTGGGGGAACGTGGTAGAGGACAGGCACCCCTTCTGAGAGGTGGTCGTGGGCCTCGTTTGAGAGGTGTGGGGGAACGTGGTAGAGGACAGGCACCCCTTCTGAGAGGTGGTCGTGGGCCTCGATTGAGAGGTGTGGGGGAACGTGGTAGAGGACAGGCACCCCTTCTGAGAGGTGGTCGTGGGCCTCGTTTGGGAGGTGTGGGGGAACGTGGTAGAGGACAGGCACCCCTTCTGAGAGGTGGTCGTGGGCCTCGTTTGAGAGGTGTGGGGGAACGTGGTAGAGGACAGGCACCCCTTCTGAGAGGTGGTCGTGGGCCTTGTTTGAGAGGTGTGGGGGAACGTGGTAGAGGACAGGCACCCCTTCTGAGAGGTGGTCGTGGGCCTCGTTTGAGAGGTGTGGGGGAACGTGGTAGAGGACAGGCACCCCTTCTGAGAGGTGGTCGTGGGCCTCGTTTGAGAGGTGTGGGGGAACGTGGTAGAGGACAGGCACCCCTTCTGAGAGGTGGTCGTGGGCCTCGTTTGAGAGGTGTGGGGGAACGTGGTAGAGGACAAGGCCACGGACCAAGACAGCGGCAGCAACAGCATAGAGTGTCCAATGAAATTCGGGCAATAGTTGTAGACCATGTCATAAATCATGGCATGACAATGACTGAGGCGGCTACAATGATACAACCAAACCTGAGAAGGTCAACCGTGGCCTCAATAATCAGAACTTTCCGCAATGAGAACCGGTAAGTTATCAGCATGCACTAAACATTATGCTACTCTCAATTGTCAAATGACTGCATACCAATGTGTATCACAGAATAGGTGATGTGACCAAGTGTCTTCTTACTCTAATGTTCCCTGTAGAATTGTGACTAGGCCAAATAGTGGAGGCAAAATTCTAACTGACCAGCAAGAGGAGGCTGTGGTCGATTTGGTTCGGGCCAGAAATGATATTCGCCTTACAGAAATTCGCCAGCATATCTTGGGCAATGAAGACATGTTCAACAATGTGGGATCCATAAGTTTGCCGACTATTGCACGCATACTGAAAAGGCACCAGGTATCTATAAAACAACTATACCATGTGCCTTTCGAAAGAAATGCAGACAGAGTGAAACAAATGAGGACTGAGTATGTTCAGGTAAGTTCAGTTTCAAGACGGCTGTTGTAAAAACATTCCCAAAAATTCCACATTGTACGGTAATCTCTAAATCTCTTTCCAAAATGTATTTTTAGAGGGTGATGGAGCTGGATGCTGATGACGACCATCACAAATTCATATATTTGGATGAGGCAGGTTTTAATCTGGCCAAGACAAGGAGGAGAGGTCGGAATTTCATTGGCCAGCGGGCAACCATCCAAGTACCTGGACAACGTGGGGCCAACATTACCATGTGTGCGGCTATATCAGAAGATGGTGTGGTGGGACGCAGACCTCATATTGGACCATATAATGCAGCTCTCCTTGTCACCTTTCTTGATGAGCTCGAACAGGTTTGTAGAGCTGAAGGTGTGACCTATGTCATTGTCTGGGACAATGTCAGGTTCCATCATGCTCATGTGGTGCAAGCATGGTTTCAGGCCCATGCACAATTTACCACCCTGTATTTACCCCCATACTCCCCCTTCCTTAACCCGATTGAGGAATTTTTCTCCGCATGGAGATGGAAGGTTCATGATAGGCACCCTCATGAACAAGTCACTCTTCTCCAGGCCATGGATGACGCCTGCAATGACATCACAGCAGACCAGTGTCAGGCCTGGATTCGCCATGCCCGAAGGTTTTTTCCAAGATGTTTGGCTAATGAAAACATCCATTGTGATGTAGATGAGAACCTGTGGCCAAATCCACAACACAGAGTTGATGACAATGTAGATGTACAGTAATCACTGCTGTTTTATTTCTTACAGTGCAAGCAAGTTGAGGAACACTGCATTTGATGGTTTACAGTACTGTCTTTTCTTTTCTATTTCATTGCATTTGATGGTTTACAGTACTGTCTTTTCTTTTCTATTTCATAGCTAATTACTGTATTTTTGCTTTGATTAAAATAAACCAATGTTGTGATTGTACTGTAGTGTTTTGCATCAATATATTACAAACTTTGTTCAATGATTCCACTTTGTCTGTATTCTCTCTACTACTGCAGTACTTTACAGTAACAGAGGTATTTACTGTACATGTAGTACCATAATGAAACCTGTATCACCTATTTTGTTCTACAATAGTTAATGATTGTACGAACAATGACAGAGTGAAACTATCGGTTGTGTGTGGGTGATCTATAGTTGTGTTTCAATGGTATTTCACAGTAAATTTGTTTTTTGAACCAATGATTGTGCAAGTGCAAGATTTCTTTAAAGATGTGAATGCACAATGCAATGTTTTGAACATTAGACAACCTGTGTTACAAGTGATAACCGTTTTGAGTTTTGTGTCTAGAGTTTTGAAAAATGACATCAAGGTTCTGAAAATAGTAGCAAAGTGATTGTAAAAAACTGTAAAATAAAAAACTTTTTCAAGAAGATGTTTTGGTGGAGTGTTCTTGTCCAAACAACATTGGACCTCATTGACACTTTCACTTTCATTGAATAGAGTAAAAAGGTACTATAGATGGGAGTGAATAATAACAGAATTATCATTTTTGGTTGAAGTATCCCTTTAAGTCTTTGTTCTTCTGACTGTAGTTATGTCCGATGCCTCTAGATGGCAGTGTCACATCAGATGAATCCCTCAGTTCTGATCAACAACCGTCAACAACACGTGTTTCACATGCGATTCATGAGTGAAACCAAATGTGTGGGATGGAAAAGAGATTGAACAACAAAACCAAAAACACTGCAGATCTGCAAAATAAACATTTCGGTATCGAGGAATTATAGTAGGTGAGTCGGTTTAACATGTTGAGAGGTGTTTGTGTGAATCTCCTGCTTTTATTTGAACTGTTTCCTTTCCTGCTATCATCACTCAATATCTGTCGACACTCGACACCATCAGATAATAAAATAATATGTCATTTACTTTTATAGCAAGTAGTTTATACTGTCACATCTACAGTGAATGAATGAATGAATGAATGAATGAATGAGTTGAGCATATAGGCAATTTCAGAACGATTTTCACCTCCATCAAAAATGACAGCTGACAGTTTTGTGAATAGGCCTATATATATATACATTATATATATATATATATATATATACACATATATATATATACACACTCACCGGCCACTTTATTAGGTACCCCATGCTAGTAACGGGTTGGACCCCCTTTTGCCTTCAGAACTGCCTCAATTCTTCGTGGCATAGATTCAACAAGGTGCTGGAAGCATTCCTCAGGGAGTTTGGTCCATATTGACATGATGGCATCACACAGTTGCCGCAGATTTGTCGGCTGCACATCCATGATGCGAATCTCCCGTTCCACCACATCCCAAAGATGCTCTATTGGGTTGAGATCTGGTGACTGTGGAGGCCATTTTAGTACAGTGAACTCATTGTCATGTTCAAGAAACCAATTTGAAATGATTAGAGCTTTGTGACATGGTGGAAGTAGCCATCAGAGGATGGGTACATGGTGGCCATAAAGGGATGGACATGGTCAGAAACAATGCTCAGGTAGGCCGTGGCATTTAAACGATGCCCAATTGGCACTAAGGGGCCTAAAGTGTGCCAGGAAAACATCCCCCACACCATTACACCACCACCACCAGCCTGCACAGTGGTAACAAGGCATGATGGTTCCATGTTCTCATTCTGTTTACGCCAAATTCTGACTCTAACATCTGAATGTCTCAACAGAAATCGAGACTCATCAGACCAGGCAACATTTTTCCAGTCTTCAACTGTTCAATTTTGGTGAGCTCTTGCAAATTGTAGCCTCTTTTTCCTATTTGTAGTGGAGATGAGTGGTACCCGGTGGAGTCTTCTGGTGTTGTAGCCCATCCGCCTCAAGGTTGTGCGTGTTGTGGCTTCACAAATGCTTTGCTGCATACCTCGGTTGTAACGAGTGGTTATTTCAGTCACTGTTGCCCTTCTATCAGCTCGAACCAGTCTGGCCATTCTCCTCTGACCTCTGGCATCAACAAGGCATTTCCGCCCACAGAACTGCCGCTCACTGGATGTTTTTTCTTTTTCGGACCATTCTCTGTAAACCCTAGAGATGGTTGTGCGTGAAAATCCCAGTAGATTAGCAGTTTCTGAAATACTCAGACCAGCCCTTCTGGCACCAACAATCATGCCACGTTCAAAGTCACACAAATCACCTTTCTTCCCCATACTGATGCTCGGTTTGAACTGCAGGAGATTGTCTTGACCATGTCTACATGCCTAAATGCACTGAGTTGCCGCCATGTGATTGGCTGCTTAGAAATTAAGTGTTAACGAGCAGTTGGACAGGTGTACCTAATAAAGTGGCCGGTGAGTGTATATATACTGGCTTGTTAGTTTTGGCCATTTTAGTTATTTTATCCACATTTTTGTTGTATGTCATATTTTTGTATGCATATTTTATAAGTTGTAAATTAAAAATTATAAAGCAATTAGCCTATATAAAAGACTAAACAGGATGAAAAGTGATGTTGAGGACATAGAAAAAAATAGAAATTGATTACTAATTAAATCAGTATTCGTGTTTGTTTGAAAAGGTGAACAGAAAAAAATATGAAGAATATGAACTTATGAAGTGAAAAATATTAATATTTCTTACTAAATTGTCAGTTTTTTTCATTGTAGGAGTTACTGCAACACCCAAAGATGACAAAAATGAACATATATATATATTTATATAAAAAGGCTATTCAATTTCTTAACAATTGGTGATGGTGAATATAACTAAAAATTATGTAAAATATGAGCCCAGTTACATTAAGAATACTATCACAAATGTGTTTTTTATAGATAGATTAGTTCTGTTGATTCTCTCTATCAAACAGAAACCATGATTACATCTATAACATGTTCCTGTATATTAAAAAGGTGGAAGCTCCATTTAATTACTGTATCATGAACATTCTTTATTGTATTAAAATGGTGCCATATTAGTATGCAGGGAATTAATTTACACTGGTAATTTGAATTCAACTTTCTGTAACACAGGATAAGTAGGACAGGTCAGTGGAGGATGGTTTGTTCATTCTGAGATTATTCGATTGTGAAACTCTGCAAAAGCAATTAAAATGGACGAGACAATAATTCAACAAGAAATGAACAGCATGGAACCTGTCAAGGTCATATTTCATCCCAAAATCAATAAGATTATTTATATTTTGCTTTAAAATAATTCTCATTACAGTAATGTAAAGTAGTGTAAATCTCATTATTCTCATTATTTATTACATCATGATTTATACAAATCAGCATTTGTTTTAATATATGCTGATTGAAAAAAAAAAATAATCATTGTAGTACAGTATTTGTATCTGAATTATTGTAGCCTTAGCATTTATATGGTGCTCCAAAGCACTTGCAAGAATAGTACCATGGTGCCATGTCCACAAAATCATGGTAATACCATGGCAAAAGTAAGTGAAGGGAAGGGTGCATCGAAATCCTGTCATAAGAAATGACGAACACATGAAAATACAAGGGAACCAGCAAAAAAATAATAACTGAGTATGTTCTGAGCTTGTTTTTCTATGAATTTTTATTGCATA